TGGTATACAAAACTGTGTGTGTGTTTTGGCGAGGCATACAGTTTCATGTACACAACGGTATCCTTTCAGAAATAACTTTTCTAGGTAATTTTGTATGTATTCTCTCTTTTTTGCCGGGGGGGGGGGTTGTTTTTTTTTTTCCGGTACTGGGGAATCGAACTCGAGACGTTGCGCTTGCCAGGCAGGAGCTGTGCCGCTGAGCTAAATCCCCAGCCCCTGTATGTATTCTCTAGTTTAAAATTGCACACAGTATCTTACTGCGTACAATGTATTGATACTAAAAGGTGCCTACCACGATTCTGAAAGATGGAAGTGGTGCTCTGAGTTGTTAGGTGATAACGTCAACATTTTTACAGTTGGAATGTTTCGTTTGATGGTGGAGTACTGCATTAAGCTTCCTGCGTTTTCTTTCTCATAACACCAGATGTGGGCTTAGGTGCCATGCCTGGGGTCCAACCCAGGGCCACGCACAAGCAAACAAACCAAACAGGTGACTCTGGGCTAGTTAAAGTCCTCGGATTTCGCTGGCCTTTTTAAGAGTTAGTATAATAGTCACTTTGGTTTCTGAAAGCGATCTGAAGATCAGTGGCTGAGAAGATCATTAAACCCTTTGGAGAGGGAGCCTATAAATTGTTAACGTTTTGTCTCCTTAGCGTGTCCTTCTGTGCCGAACACGCCCGTAGGAATGCCCTAGCACTCCATGCGCAAATGAAGAAGACCAGCCCAGGGCCTGTGAGCGAAACGTTGTTGTGCCAGCTGAGTTCCTATGCTAAGACGGAGCTGGGGTCTCAGACTCCAGAAAGCGTCCGTAGTGAAGCCAGCCGAATACTGGGTAAGGATCTTTCCTAGAATTTAAAAAAAAAAAAAGGCTAATAAAGAACTTGTTTTGGTCTAGTCCAGTGCCTTGAACATATCTAGCAATATTGTTAATTCATTGGGAATTTGGTGAGAATTCTAGGATTGCTGTGTTCAGTTCTTTCAAATTTGAAATAGAGTTTGTGTAGGTTTACGCTCCTGAGCTGGTGACTTTCTGTATCAAAGTTTTTAAATTTAACTTTACGACTTGGGTTGATCTGTTAAGTAACCTAGCTGTGTGGTGGAGTTACAGAGGTGGGGAGTCTTAATAGCTGCTCTCCCTTCCTTGCCTCAGATGAAGACAGCTGGAGTGATGGGGACCAGGAACCCATTACTGTGGATCAGACATGGAGAGGTGACCCTGACAGTGAAGCTGATAGCATAGACAGTGATCAAGAAGATCCCCTAAAGTAAGTTGTAACTCCACATATAGCTTTTGCACATTTTATGTAGTTAGTGTGTGGAATGTGGTATGGTACGTAGATTATTAACTAAGGAAGGTTGAAGATAGCTTAGCTTTGTGAGCCATAACAGTTTCTGTATAGTAAAGTGTCAGGGTTCATCATGCCATCTCTTCAAGGCAAGATAATTTTTTTTTTTTTAATTTTTGGGATTGAACCTTGGGCCTGCACACTGAGCTGCATCTCTAGGTCTTCTTCCATTTTAAAATTGAGATAAAGTCTTGCTGAGTCCCATAAGGCTGAGCCCACACTTGCCATTTTCTTTTTGTGTGTGTGTTTTTGAGACAGAGTCTTGCTACGCAGTTCAGGCTGGCCTTGAGCTCACTTTGTAGCCCAGGGTGGGCTTGAACTCACAACGATCCTTCTGCCTTAGCCTCTCGAGGGCTGGGATTACAAGCGTGTGCCACCATGCCCGACCCTTTTTTTTTTTTCCCCAAATTTTGCATTTTCCTGTCTCAGTCTTCCAGAGTGCTGGGGTTACAGGTAGGCAACACCATGCCTGGCAGATTTACTTTTTCTTTTGCTAGAAGTCTTTATTTTTTACTTTTTTTTTTTTTATAGAAGTCTTTAACTTTGAAAAAATGTTTGGGGATGTAGCTCAGTGGCACAAGTGCCTGCCTGGCAAGTGCAAGGTCCTGAGTTTAATTCCCTGTACCCCCCCTCCCCCCAACTCTTAGGAATGAGGAAATGCAGGGAAGAAGAGTCAGATTTTGTGGACCTGAGAGTGGAGGTGGGTTGAGAAATACTTAGCCTGGCTGGGCATGGTAGGACAGGCCTGTAATCCCAGCACTCGGGAGGCTGAGGCAGGAGGATTGTTGCAAGTTCGAGGCCAGCCTGGGCTACAAAGTGAGCTCAAGGCCATCGTGAACTGCATAGCGAGACCCTGTCTCAAAAAGACAAAAAAAAAAAGAAATCCAGATGTGATTAATTATCTTAATTATATCTTACTAAGGTTGACCTCTTCACTGATCTGTGATCACCTTCGGAGATAGAGAGGCGTTAGAAAGCATTGCTACTCCAAAGTCTCATATTTCTTTAGCTTTTCTTTTAATTGCAGTGCTGGAAGTTGAATCTAAGGCCTTGTGCCTGTGAGGCTAACACTCTACCACTGAACTACATCTGCGGCTCTTAAGTTTTTTTCATACTGGGGAACTCCCCCCCCCCCCAACTTCTCTCTGACTTTTTGCCTCTTAACACTTCCACCTGATGGTTTAGGCAGAAGTACTTTAGATAGCAGGAGAGATTATGAATTTCTAGACTTGACTGATAGGCTTTTTTTTTTTTTTTTTTTTTAAAATTACTAGTATTTGAACCCAGGACTTCACACACTCTGAGCTATATATCCCCAGCCCATTTTACTTACTTTTTGGGGAAGACAAGGTATGTTTATGTAGTCTGGGCTGGCCTTGAATTTAATTTGTAGCCCAGTTGGCCTCAGATTCTGGGTCATCCTACTTAAGTCTCTGGAGTGCTGTGATTACAAGTATGTGCCACCACACCCAGCTGAGTTACTTTTTTTGAGTAGAATAAGTTTATCCATTTCTGCTGAGTAATTGCAGCATGGTCATCTATTCAGGAAGTATTAGTTTAGAAAGTATTTTGGCAGGGTGTAGTGGTGCACGCCTGTAATCCCAGCACTTGGGAGGCTGAGGTAGGAGGATCACTGTGAGTTTGAGGCCAGCTTGGGCTACGTAGAGAGTTCAAGACCAGCCTGAACTGCATAGTGAGACCTTGTCTCAAAAAGACAAAAAGTAAGTAGCTTGAAGCTGGGCACAGAGGCAGGGACAGGACAATTACCAGTTCAAGGCCAGCCTGAACTACATAGTGAGACCCTGTCTTCAAAAAAATAGTTTGAAAGGGAGTATTTCCTAGTAGGATACTCTTAGAGTAACAACTCATAGTAAATACACTCTGTTTTCCCCCGTTGTGGTTCTCAGTGGCCAAAATCCCTGCTTTGATGTGTACTCTGTAGGGTCACACATAAACACCAAAGTCCAGTCTAATTTTTTTTTCATTGTGTCTTTTTAAGACAGGGTCCTGCTGTGCAGTTCAGGCTGCAGTCTAATTTTTAAAGACCCAGAAACTTGATTTTGTTAGTAGTAGTCTAGAGTAGATCAGATTCTATAGGATGGATTCATACTAATCTAACACAAAAGCAACTGCTGTATAGCAGATTATCAGTTAATTATAGGAGACATAAATACTGAAAGACTAGGTGAATAAAGCCCACTAAATTCTCAACTATCAGACAATTAAATATAAAGCTTTCCTTTTCCCACTGAGATTGTCCTCCCAAATATGTTGGCTTACTAAGTAGTGTGCTTTTAGGGATATAAATGCCTCTTCATATTAGTATGGTTTTGTGTTACTATCTTACATTTAATACAGTAGTTTTATAGTACAGTAGTTTTAATTTAATGAAATCCTTTTTGTTATTAATTTACAGTTCAGTGCTGTTCTTTTTTATCACCAGTTTTTGAATCATCTAATATTTAGTGGCTTTATCTTCATTTGTGTGTGCAGAAATGGCACCTTTTGTATTATTTCTGCCATTGGAGACTTGATCTTCACTAGAATTACTATTGGTATCCCTAAGCCCCTAACCCCCGTGAGCATGCGTATCATTTTCCTCAAAGTAACCGTTCGCTTAATTGCCTCGCCTAGGCTATAAGTCAGCGGTAAAAAGCTTCCCTATCCTGTGTGGGGCCCTGGCCCAACACTCCAAAAAGAAAGAAAAAGAAAAACCATCACGTGACCTATAAATATTCCATGCTTGATTTGTTAAAGATCAGTTTCGGATGATCTTTATTTTTTTTGGATAATCTTTATTTTCAAAATAATGAACTTTGAGGAGAAAACCTTTCTTTCTTTCTTTATTACTTTTTGTTTGAGACAGGGTCTCACTGTGTATCCTGAAAGTTTCCCCTCCCCTCCCCAAGGTCTCACTATGTAGTGCAGGCTGGCATTGAACTCATAGTGATTTTTCTCATTCATATTTTGAATTTTCTCAATTTCTGTATATTTATGTTTACTTCACGTTACTTTGTAGTTAAGTGCTTCTAATACACAGGTAATAACAGCTCCTGGTTATTTGAAAAAATTTGGGCAGACTTGCTCTCAGTTACAGTGAGTTAACAGCTAATGTTTTTTCTTTCTTTTTTAAAATTTTTGTTCTTATGTTTTTTTGAGACAGGGTCTCACTATGTAGTCCAAGCTAGCCTTGAACTCATTATGTAGCCCAGGCTGGCCTCGAACTTGCAGTGATCCTATCTCAGCCTCCCAGGTGCTGGGATTACAGGTATGAGCTACCATGCCTGGTTTTTAGTTTTTTTTTTTTTGAGACAGGTCTGACTATGTAGTTCAGGTTGACCTTGAGCTATGTTGCCTAGGCTGGCCTCAAACTCATGGTGATCCTCCTGCCTCAGTCTCCCAAGTGCTGGGATTACAGGCATGCACCACCTGACTGGCCAATAACAGCTGTTTTCTCAAAGAAAGTGGAAAACTAAGTGTGGTAGTGGTTGTTTGCAATCTCAGCTACAGGGAGGCTGAGGCACAAAGATTGTAGTGAATTCCAGGCTAGTGTAGACAATTTAGTTGTATGTTGTCTCCAGAATAAAGTAAGAAGCAAGAGAGATGCAGCTCAGTGATAGCATGCCCTTGGCTTCATTCCCCAGTATCACAAAAATAAATAGCATAGTTTTTGGGTTTAGTATTAATTTAGATATATAATTTGTGGGCCGGGGATATAGCTCAGTGGCATAAGTGCCTGCCTGGCAAGCGCAAGGTCCTTAGTTCGATTTTTGGTACCAAAAAAAAATACATAATTTGTGTGTTTACTTTTTAAACAAGTTTTACTTAGAATATGAAACTTCATGTTTCTAGCTTGCTTTTTTTTGTTTTGTTTTGAGACAAGAATCTTGCTCTGTAGTTCAGGCTGGCCTTGAACTCACAGCAATCCTTCTGCCTCAGCCTCTCAAGTGCTTGGAGTACAGGTGTACGCCACCATGCCTGGCTTGCTTTTTCTGCTCAAAGACAAAATGAACCTAAAATTTTTGAGCAACTTGAATGGTAAAATGCTATATGAAAATGTTCTTACTTAGTAAAGTGATCGTTTCTGTTTGCACGGACTGCTTGTTAAATAACAGTGGGGCTAATTTCTGTATACTGTTTTACTTTCTTTTGTTTTTTTGTTTTTAAAGAGTCTTGCTATGCAGTTCAGGCTGGCCTTGAACTCGTTTATGTAGCCCAGGCTGGCTTCAAACTCTCGGTGATTCTCCTGCCTCTCTGCCTCCCGTGGTTGGGATCACAGGCGTGCGCCACCTAGCCCAACTATTTTTCGGTTTTTATTTTTTTTGGTACCAGGAATCGAACTGAGGACCTTGCGCTTGCCAGGCAGGAGCTTGTATTTTTAAACTTGGGTTTTATTTTTGTGTTTTCTTATGCTTTGCTGAATCTTTTCTTTGAATCTTTTTATTCCAGACATGCTGGTGTCTACACAGCAGAAGAAGTGGCCCTGATTATGCGTGAGAAGTTAATTCGTTTGCAGTCTTTGTACATTGACCAGTTTAAACGACTTCAGCATCTGCTCAAGGAGAAGAAGCGCCGGTACTTACATAACCGCAGAGTGGAGCACGAAGCCCTAGGCAAGTTGTACACAGCTGAGCTGCCTGTTCTAGGCAGAGACTGCCCTGTAACTTTGGGGAAGCTTCTTTGATGGTTTGGCTGGCAAATTATATGTTGACTTTTGTGACTGTCTAGGCAGCAGTCTCCTGACTGGCCCAGAGGGACTTTTAGCCAAAGAACGAGAAAACTTAAAGCGATTAAAATGTCTCCGGCGGTATCGCCAGCGCTATGGAGTGGAAGCCTTACTACATCGGCAACTGAAGGAACGCAGAATGCTGGCCACCGATGGTGCTGCCCAGCAGGTAATCGTTTTGATACGCTGTAGATATGTATCCATTTTATTCACGGAAGTTTTAAATTGTTAAAACTCTACTCCATGCTGGCTCTGAAGTCTGACTCAGTGGGGCTCGTAGCAAAAGCAGTTAGCCGGAAGTCAGAGGCGTGTTTGGTCTCAGCCCCCAACCACCTGCCCTTGCCTGCACAGCTAGCTTAAATTCTCGGGGCCTCGTATTTAAATTGGATTTGGGGGCGGATTTCTAAGTTTTTTGGTTCAGGTATTTGTCACTGGAGATACAGGCATGGCTGGGTGTGGTGTTGCACACCTGTAATCCCGGGAAGGCTGAGATAGGAGGATCACCATGTTTGAGGCCAGCCTGGGCTACCTCGTAAATTCAGGGCCAGCCTGAACTACATAGTAGTTGTCTTAAAAAACCAAAAACAAAATAGTAAAACAAGCAAAAGATAGGGCACAAGTTAAGCTTAAGTTGTTTGAGAGTCTGGTTTTATGTTTCAGTTTTGAAGCTCCGCACAAGGTTGCAGTTTTTAAAGGGCTGTGCTGCTAAAAGACACATTAATTTGAAAACTACTAAGCTGTACTGTAGTCCCTAGTAGGAAATATCCCCAATGGAGGTCAGCCTGAGACGACAGATACTATTGGACCCTATGTACAGTCTTCTTTCTGTATGTTCAAAGTGTGAGTGAAAAATACGGTGAATGTCTAATTTTTAGCAAAAACGTATTGTGGTGAAAGACATGTTGCCATTAACTCCCCCTCAAAACATTCCCCCGCTCGGCAACCGTTTTGAGACTCCTCCTGTCTCTCAGGAGCTGTTACTCCCCAATAAATTCTCCTACTCTTAAAAAAAATTTTCCCCTCTCTGAACATGCCCCATCATTACCGCTCCTTTCGGAAGCAGTTGTAGAAATCTTCTTTCATGTCTTTAGTTGAGCTGTTAGAGTTTAGTGGATGTCCTGAACTGAATCATGGTCATTTTGACGCTGGGTAAGAAGCCTACATGTCACGAGGTGCCAGATCTGGTGAACGAAGTGGATGAAGACACAAAGTAACGCTATCACTGTGAGCCTGCCTTGCCCTGGGAAGGTGCTTACCAGTCGCAGTCACCAAATTTTTAATCACTCCTCAGAAATACACTCGCAAAAGAGGACTTCAGAACTGCTCCAGAAAAGGGCAGGAGCGATGGGATAAGCGTGTTTGAAGCAAGGGGAGTGTTTTGAATATTAACAGAAATATGTCCTTTACTATAATAAATATAAAAAGTTTTTATTAGTATATGTTTACAGTACAAAATGATTACCTTCATTGTAAATTTTAAAAATTTAGACATTCACTGTTTATTTTGTTAATCTCTTGTATATATCTGGCAGTTTAATTTGATACCTGTGATAGTTTATAAATTTGGCACAGTGATTAAATAACAATAATTATTAAAAAGGATGATTCTGACAATATAAGGTAATAAAAATTGCTTGAAACTAATTAATTCTTCTTGGTACCGGGAATTGAACTCATGACCTTGTGCTTGCCGGGCAGACACTGCCATGAGCTGTATATACCCGTAGTTTTCCATTTAGTATTTTTAGATGAAGATTGACTAAGGGCAGCTGGAACCTTAGGTAAGGGAGACTGTAGTCACGCTCCGTGTACGGGGACAGGTGCAGTTGGGGTGCAGGTTGACTCTTCGTGTGTGAGGTTTTAAATTTTACTTTCTTCTGCATAATACTGATGCATCAGTGTGTTCAGTGTTAATTTTTCTCCAGTCCTGGGAACGCACTGTTGTGTGTACCTGGACTGTTCCTGCAGTTGCTGTATGTGCCGCTGTGCGTTGTCTCATCTGTTCTCTCCGTTCTAGGCCCATACCACTCGCTCCAGTCAGAGGTGCTTGGCGTTTGTGGATGACGTTCGTTGTTCCAATCAGTCTCTCCCAATGACCAGACACTGCCTTACCCGTATCTTTTTCAGACTGCCAGCTCGGGCTGTTTCGTTAGTTACACCAGGGCTGGTGGGGATCTGTGCTAGTTCGCGTAATTGAAGGTCTTGGCTTTCCTTCGGCCCTGAATCAAGGCCAGCAGTTTTCTGACGCTGTTGGTTTCAAGCAGGAGCCTAAAGTGGTATCTTTCTATGGTCTGTTGGCCATTTCAGAACTTTAGAAATGTAATGGTCAATTCATTAGAAAGAAACAACTAACTAAATAAATTTTAAGCCAGGTGTGGTGATGCAGGTCTGTAATTATAGCCCTTGAGAGGTTGAGGCATGAGGATTGCTGTGAGTTTGAGGGCAGCCTGGGCTAGTAATGAGTTCAAGGCCAGCCTGTACTACATAGCAAGATCTGTCTCAAAAAACCAAAAACAACAAAAAAACCAACCCCGGAAAAGGGAGGATCGCTGCGAGTTTGAGGCCAGCTGGGCTGTGTGGTGAGTTCAAGACCAGCCTGAGCTACATAGTGAGACCTTTTCTAAAATAAAAATAGTGGGGCATGAATCCCAGCACTTGGGAGGCTGAGGCAGGAGGATCGTTGTGAGTTTTAGACTAGCCTGGACTAAAAAGTGAGCTCAAGGCCAGCCTGAACTGCATAGCGAGACCCTGTCTCAAAAAGGAAAAAAAAAAAAAACTTACAGTTTTAAATTTAAGAAATGTACACATATCAAAACTATTCCTTATTTAGAGTGAGATACACACTTTTTTTCAGCTATCTACTTGTTTCCTTTTACACTTGCCCACAGATAGCATTTATCTTCAGAGTTTCTAATTACTTTGCACAAGCATTTTATATGTTGAGAGTAGTCATTTACTAGACATTTGTCACAACAATTGATTTTTTTTTTTTGGTACCTGGGATTGAACTCAGGACCTTTCGATTGCCAGGGAGGCCCTTGTGCCACTGAGCTATATCCCCGGCCCCACAACAATTAATAAATTGCTAAAATATTTAATAAACTGAATTGAAAAAAAATCCATTTTCCTGTCAAAAGAAAATTTCCTGTCCAGCTGGGTGTGGTGGTGCTCGCCTGTAATCCCAGCACTTGGGAGGCAGAGGCAGAAGGAATGCTGAGAGTTTGAGGCCAGCTTGGGCTACAGAGTGAGACTTGGTCTCAAAAAACTAAAAAATAAAAACAATCAAAAGTTAATTAAAATAATGAATATAATTTCACTTTAAAAATGTCAAGGTTCTGTTTCTGTTAAAGAAAAAAATTTGTTTTGACCAGGGACTCGCATGTTGCCCAGGCTGGCCTCAAGCTCTTGGGCTCAAATGATCTTCACCCTCCTAAGTAGCTGGACCTGCAGGCACGTGCCACGCACCTGGTTAAGAAAATTCCCTGCAATTTGCAAATATTTGGTATCTCTTGGCAGGCAAATGAAATCCAGCAAAATTTATGTGTTTCATGTAACTGAATATTTAACAAATGCTTGTAGTGTAAAAAATAAGTTTTTCACTGAGAAAGATGTACTCTGAAGATCTAGTAAATGCAAAAAAGGTTAGAGTCTAATGGTAAATGTGTTCGCGTAGGAGACTCTAGACATGGTTTAAAGGCACATTTTTTGGGGGGGTGGTCTCTGAGACACAGTCTCACTACTCAGTTCATGCTAGCCTTGAACTCGCAGCGATCCTCCTGCCTCAGCCTCCCACATACTGGGATTACAGGCATGTGCTGCCACGCATGGCTAAAGGCAAAGTTTTTGAAAGGAAAAAGAGCATCTCCTTTTTTTTCTGGTACTGGGAATCGAGCTCAGGACCTTGGGCTTGCCAGGCAGGTGCTTGTGCTGCTGAGCTATATCCAGCCCAGGCTGGTCTCGAACTCTCAGCGATCCTGCCTCAGCCTCCCCAGTGCTGGGATTACAGGCATGGGGCACCACACCCATTTTGGGGAAGTTTGTAATGTGAAGTTTAGGGTACAAGTTAGCACGCTGACCCTACAGTAGGGGACTGCTAGAAGAAAGTTGGGTGCAGCAGCACCTTTTGCTTTGGTAGAGAAATTTTAAATGATTGTTTTTTGTTAAGAGATTAACAACACTAATATCTTAACAGGTTTAAGGAATCTAGAGAGAAGCATGGGTCTATTACAAAGCAGTTTTAAAATACATTCTTTGGTAAGGTAATATCACCTCTGGGGATCTATTTTGATGAGATTATGAAGTATGGAACAATATTTTTAATATTCTAACTTAGAGACAACCTTAAAATGTTTAGAGAGAGAGCTTGGCATGGTAGCACACACCTGTAATGCCCACTCAGGCTGAGGCAGGAGGATCGCCATCAGTTTGAGACCGCCCTGGGATACATTGTGAGTTCAAGGCCAGTCTACATAGCAGAAACCTATCTTAACCAAAAAAAAGTTTAAAAGCAGGGAATAGTGAAGTAAATTTTGGCAGATAATTTGGGGTATTTTTAGGCATTAAACATTTGAAAATATGAAATGACAAAAATGTGATACAAATTTTTTTTTTTTTTTTTTCTTTTTGAGACAGGGTCTTGTGCAATTCAGGCTGGCCCTGAGCTCACTTTGTAGCCCAGGCTGGTCTCTAACTCGCAGCGATCCTCCTGTCTTAGCCTCCTGAGTGCTGGGATAAAGGCGTGTGCCACCACACCTGGCTAGAATTTTTTTTTTTTGGATACAAATGTTTGTAGACTACATATAACTGTATGGAACTAAATATTGGGAAGGAATGTAACAAATGTTATTTTTGTATGGTGAGGGTATGATAACTTTTTTTACACTTTATACTGTTTATTTGAGCTGGGATTAATAAAAATCCTCTGTTCATAGACACTATGCTAAGGACTTAGGTATTTCTTAAATGCTGTACTAGAATACATGTAAAAAGCAGAGTTGGTGACGAAATGTATTTAAGAAGTGAAGGGGATGGTTTTGCTGTGTGTGCTTTTCCTTCCTGCCCCACAGTTGCCTGAGTCACTTACCCTTCCTTAAGTCCTTGCCCAGAGGAAGATCCAGCGGCCCTTGGCGACCAGTTAGCTCTTTACTCTGGTTAACGGAGCCAGCACTGGACTGAAAGTGAAGGACCCAAGCTCTAGGTGTAGGTCAACCCTTGCCTTTGTATCTGTCGTCCCCATGTGAAAGGAAAAGCGGGTGGAGGAGGAGGGGCAGAGCTTTTAGGCTCTTACAGTATTAAATGAGAGACTTTTGTAAAAGTCCTTTGAGTTCCATGAAAAAAGTTCTGTTTGAGATACTTAATTTAAGCCGGGCGTGGTGGCGCACACCTGTAATCCCAGCACTTGGGAGGCTGAGGCAGGAGAATCATTGCGAAGTTCAAGACCAGCCTGGGCTACATAGTGAGCTCAAGGCCAGCCTGAACTGCATAGTGAGACCCTGTCTCAAAAAGAAAAAAAAGGAAATAATGGATTAAAGTTGTAAATATGGGTAATCTAAATATTACTGAGCTTCTTAAGCATATTACTTAGATTTTCTTAAACATGTCAGATTATTCCACTGTATTAATGTTCAGCATATATTTTGATGACTCAGTAAATACACACTTTGTACTATTTATACAGCAAGTTCTTAGTTGGGGCCTTTATGCTCCATTTGGTGATATGTGGAGAAATTTTCAGTTGTATCTTAACTCAGGAGGTGGGAGTGTTACAGAAGACAGAGGCAGTTGATGGTGCTAAATCTTCTAGTTTGGTTTTTTTTTTTTTTTTTTTTTTTTGAGACAGGGTCTCGCTATGCAGTTCAGGCTGGCCTTGAGCTCACTTTGTAGCCCAGGCTGGTCTCCCAACTTGCAGTGGTCCTCGTGCTTCAGCCTCCCGAGTGCTGGGATTTTTTTTTTCTCTTTTTGAGGCCTGGCTTGTTTTTTTTCTTTCTGAGGCCTAGCTTTTTTTTTTCTCTTTTTGAGGCAAGGTTTCACTAGGTAGTTCAGGCCAGCCTTGAATTCAATTTGTAGCCCATGCTGGCCTCGAACTCTCAGTGATCCTCCTGCCTCAGCTTCCTGAGTGCTGGGATAATGTTCTAGATCTTAACAGTTATACTTTACATTTGGTGTTTGAATTTTTTAAAAATTACCTGAAAGTTTAAGGTGAGAACTGGGTGTGGTGGTGCACGTCTGTAATCCCAGCACACGGGAGGCTGAGGCAGGAGGATCGGTTCAAATTTGAGGCCAGACATAGTTCAAAGCCAGCCTGGATTACATAGCGAGACCTATGTAAAAAAAATAAAAAACAAAACAAAACAAAACTGAGAAGTTACCCATAATTTCTTAATAATCCTAGTGTAATTTGTTTAAAGGAAATTGTGTTTTTAGTTTAAAAAGGGGGTCAAGTTTAAAGTTACACTTGTTTACCACAGCAAAATAACCATATGGTTTACGAGTCAGGTGAGGTGGCACATGTCTGTCACCTCAGCATGGGGGGAGGAGGGGCAGGGAAGTCTGAGTCCCTCTGGGCAGTTTGGTGACTTAGGGAGAATCTGTGTTGAGAAAGACTTAAGCAGTTCGAGAAAATGTTAGTTTGTAGAGTAATTTAAACTGAACATTTGATCTAAAACAGAGGGAATTTGCCCTAATCAAATACGTCCTGTGATGCAGCTCTGTTGGTCCTGGGAGCTGTGCCGCGCGGGAGATGCAGACACTTCTGCTTCTGCCCACAGATGGTTGCTGTAGGAGTTGTTTCCCACGGGCCCTCGCAGGCATACTGTGTGACAGGGCTCACCTCTTCGGAAACAGAAGGCATTGAGACTTTATTTCCTTTCAAGATAAGATACTTTGTTTTTGGTTTTTTGAGACAAGGTCTTGCTGTATAGTTCAGGTTACCCCTGAACTAACTAGTCCCGGATGGCCTTGAACTTGGGGCAGTTCCGCCTTAGCCTCCTGTGGTGGGATTATAGGTGTGTGCCGCCACACCTGGCTCTAACATAGGATACTCAGTGAATGTCAGTTTCTGTTTCCCCCCAGGGCTGTGCTCCCACAGAGGAATTTGTCCTGTTACAAAACAGTCCAAGAAGTTTTTGCAGATTTAGCCGGACTTCCTCATGCTATTTGTGTTTGCTGTAATGTGTTTCTTCTGAGTACGTGTGTGTTTGTTCCTAGTAGCATTATCTATTGCTGCTTGCTTAGCATTGTCATAGGGAAAACGAGAAAAGCAAGTTAAGGACAAGTTTTATATTTTTTTTCTTTTTAATTACATTAAAACTTTTTAAAATACATGTTTGCAATACGTGAGTATATTCATTGTGGGGAGTTGATACATAGAGATATTATGTCTTCATTTTTTTAATTTCTCACTCACATCCCCTGAGGAATTAGTTTTAAATTACTGGTAAAGCCAGATTTAGCTGCTTGGAAGTGACACTTAAAATGTTGAGAATTGCCATTTGTGATGGCACACACTGGTAGTTTCAGCATTCAGGAGGCTGAGGCAGGAGGATCATTGAGTTCATGGCCAGTCTGAACTGCAAAGTGGGACCCTGTTTTCAAAAAATAATCTGTTTTTGAGAAGTGACTTAAACTACTAAGTGCATTTGGTTTTCTGTATGAAATGTGTTTGTATTTATTGTATACTTGTAGTTTTACATGGAGGCACCTCTTGTATTTTGTACTTCCAATAGAGCCTGTTTTATTTCCCTTGACCATTTTTCTACAGATATTTGTCAGGATACGAATCAAGTTCTCTTCAAATGCTGCCAGGGGTCTGAAGAGGTCCCCTGCCACAAAGCAGTTCCTGTAAGCCTTTCTGAGGATCCCTGCTGCCCACTGCATTTCCGGCTGCCTCCTCAGATGTATAAGCCCGAGCAGGTACTGTGTGTGCCAGACGATCTGGAAGCCGGCCCCACGGATCTGTACTTGAGTGCTGCCGAGCTCCAGCCCACTGAGAGTTTACCACTGGAGTTCAGTGATGTAAGTTAGAGAAGCTCTGCTCTGATTGGCCCTTGAGACAAGGCCACTATTCCTGGTGAGAATAGTCTTCTGTGGTCAGGAGATTGGTAACAGTTTGAAGTGATACATATGTATGGTTGTATTTGTATGTTAGCATGTTCATTTAGAGACTTTCTGGCCTACTTCCTGTTTTTTTATATTTTTTTGGACTACAATTCACACAGCATAAATTTTACCCTTTGCCTAGTATATGATCCAGTTTTTTTTTTCACAGTGAGGCAAATGTCATCCCTACTCATAATTTCAGAATGTTTTTATCACGCTGGAAAGAGCCAGTATTTTAGCAGTTACGTCTCATTTTTCCCTTCCTTTCTTAAGCCCCTGTTAACTACTAACATACTCCATAAATTTTGCATATTTTGGCTTTTTTCATTGTGCAGAATGTTTTTTTTTGGTACCGGGAGTTGAACTCGGGACCTTGTGCTTGCCAGGCAGATGCTGTGCTGCTGAGCTCTCTCCCCGGCCCCGTGCAATGTTTTTAAGGTTCATCTGTGTTGTAGTGTCTCTTAACACTTCATCCTTTTTGTGGCTGAAGCTTTCGTGTTGGCGTATTCCTTTATCCCCTTTTCTGGTACTGCCGGATTGAACACAGGGCCTTGCACGGGATAGGCGAGCATCCCAGCACTGAGCTGCACACAGCCCTTGTATCACACTTTTTAAACCCCGTTGGTGGATATTTGAGCTGTTTTCACTTTTTGCTCCTTCAGAATATTCTGTTACCAACATTTATGTGTACAGTTTTGAATGGACATGTTTCCAATTCTCTACCTCTGTGTATACTTAGGAGTGGGTGTGTCTTTTAACCTACTACTTACATTTTAATGAAAAAGCAAAATTCTTCCATATTGATACTTCTAAAACCATCTACAGGTTTCTACTGGTTTAAATTTCTTTTTTTGAGTGCACAAGAAGGGAAATTATAAAGTAAGGGAAGTTGGAAAGGCAAGATGATGGTTGGGTTTGGTGGAATTTAAAGATTCCATACTGGTCCGAAAGGTGAGCTGGGTGGGCGTGGTGGTACATGCTTATAATCTCAGCACTCCTGTAATCCCAGCACTTGGGAGGCTGAAGCAGGAGGATTGCTTTGAGTTTGAGGCCAGCCTGGGCTACAAACTGAGCTCAAGGCCAGCCTGAACTGCATAGCGAGACCCTGTCTCAAAAAGACAAAAAAAAGGGCTGGGGATTTAGCTCAGCGGCACAGCGCCTGCCTGGCAAGCGCAAGGTTGTGGGTTCAATTCCTGGTACCCGAAGAAAAACAAAACAAAACAAAACAAAAACAAACAAACAAAAAAGAAGAGTCCCTAGAATTTGAAATGAATTTTGATTTCTCTAGAAATCAACTTGTTTTTTGAGACAGGGTCTTGCTGTATAGTCCAGGCTGGCCTTGAACTTAACTATGTAACCCATGCTAGCTTTGAACTTGTGATTTTCCTGCCTCAGCCTCCTCAGTGCTGGAATTACAGATGTGTGCCACCACACCTGGCTGAGATCCACTCTTAACAGTGTAAACTTTTGTTTTGGTCCTATTACAAGGCTTCTCATTTCAAATTAGTGTGTCCTCTAAGAAAGACCTCTAAATTTGGCTGTGGATACTGTTTCAATTTTTGATGTGTTAATAGTTTGTGTGTGTGTGTGAACTGATAGAATAGCAGTAAATTCCCCAGGTATTTACTTTGTGGTCTTCTAAGTTGGCACAGCACTCTGCATTTTAAGAACTTGCTCCTCAGCTTGCCTATGTGGTGCATGCCTGTAATGCAAGTGCTCTGGGAGGCTGAGGCAGGAGGATCATAAAGTTTGAACCCAGCCTAGGCAATTTTACCAACTTAGCAAGACCCTGGTTCTTAAAAAAAAAGGTTGGGAATGCAGTTAGTGCAAAATCCTAGGTTCATTCCCTAATATGGTCAAGCAACACAACACAACACAGTACAACACAACACAACGCAGCACAGCACAACACAACGCAGTACAATTCCCTCAGGTCCCTCTTGCTTCCCAAACCCATCTGTTTCCTCACGCATACTGTGCTGCTGTGTGACGTTGGATCAGCTGGTGCTCCGTCTCTGTCTCGCCACTTCTCTTTCATCTTTGGTCTTCTGGGTGAAGGTCTTTTTTATTTTTATGAAGGTAAACTTTTGAGATTTCATAAAAACGTTTCTTGCACATGCCCACATGTTTAAACCACACATCCAGATGGAAATGTCGGTACAGGTTGCAAGGTTACCAAGGGTAGGAACAGGATTTGGGTGGCTGCAGTGATCTCCGTCTCAAGAAAAAAGTACCAGGACAGAGTAGGAACTGAAGAAGACAAAGTGGTGTTGAGAACAAATTGATTCTGATTTTTCCTCTTCTTTAAAAGAAAACTGATAATAGCTGGGTGTGGTAGCACGTGCCTGTGGTCCAGCTACTTGGGAGTCCGAAGCGGGAGGATCACTTGGATTCAAGAGCTGACCAATGTGGACAACATAGCAAGATCTTGTCTCAAAAATAATAAAATCCGGAAGTGATAATACGCTTACCAAGAGGCTTACCAAGTCTTGGATTGTCATTACGTTTTATAGAAAAGTATATATATGTGTGTGTGCGTATACATGTATATACTTTTTTTGTGGTACTGGTAACCATTATGAAGCTACTCTACTGGTCTCTGCTTTATTCTTTTTTCCTTTTGCCTCTTTTATTTTTGCTCTTTAAAAAATTTTTTTTTAAACTTCTAAAAATTGGTACCAGTTTGTAGCACATGATTATATTCATTATGGGGAATTGGTACATGTATGTGACATTGCTTGTTTTTAAAAAAATTTTTACTCTCTTCCTGCATTATTTTTATTTAAAAAATGAAAAAAGATTTTTCTTTTGAGACAGGCTCTTGCTAATTATTTTAGGCTGACCTTGAACTCTGGCAAGGCTCCTGCTTCAGCCTCCTGAGTGCTGGGTTTACAGGTTTGTGTCATCACATCCAGCTGGTCTCGGCTTTATAGTCGGTGACAAGGACAAGTTCTCAGGGCTTTTGGGTTTTGTTTCATCTTTGGATGTTCTGGTAGGTTAGGTGTGAAGGAGAGACCTGAGAATAGCTGTGAGGTTTGCTAAAACATGCGCCAGCCTTAGCTTACCTTGCTTTGCGTTACTGATCAGACTTTCCTTTTCCTTTCGCAGGACTTGGATGTTGTAGGTGATGCTCTGCAGTGCCCGCCTTCACCTTTGCTGTTTGACCCTTCACTAGCCCTTGAAGATCATTCAGTCACCGACGTTGCTGCGGGCGCAGTGGATGTACTGGCAAGTGCAGCCGCAGCTTGGCCGGGCAGCAGCCTGTGCTCAGGGAGGGGTGTCACCACGAGTAGCGTACAAAGATAGCCTGAGCGGCTTCACAGTGCTGTGTAAAAGAAGGACTTTTTAATTTTTTTAGGAGCTGCATATATTCATTGGGGGAAAGAAAGCGTCTGCCCAAGAGAGACGGAAGGGGCCCTGAGTGGGTTGCCCGAGAAGTACTTTTTAAAAAACGCTCTTTTCAAGCAAGGGGTGCAGCCCAGTGGTAGTGTGCACTCTCAGCAGTGCGTGACCCCTGGGTTCATTTCCTGCCACTGCAAGGCTGCTGGTGGTGGGGCTGTTCTGTTTCGGAATGTCCCTCTCCCGTCCCGCAGGTGGGCCCTACACCTCCTCGTGTCCTCTGCGCGTCTTAGCCTTGGGCGTACTTGTGTAAGTGAGAGTTGGAGAGCAGGACGCGAGGTAAATTGTACCGTCTAAGAACTCTTCACTGGGATTGTTCTCCTTGTGGAATAAGGACCAGTATTCGTGATGAGTGGGATACTTCTGGCCCTGACTGAAGACCACCAGTTATGCTGTAGCTGTTGGTTTCAAGCAGAGGCCTACATGAATGACTTCTGTGGTTTGTTGGCATCTCTGGAACCTCATGGAGAATGACTCTTTCTTCTGGAAGAACAGCCCACACTTCCGTGTCTTATTAGCAGAGCCTCAGGAGTAAAGACTTCTGACTCTGAAGATAGGATAGGATAGGATAGGATAGGATAGGATAGGATAGGATAGGATAGGATAGGATAGGATAGGATAGCATAGCTACGTACTGGGAGAAGCAGCTATCTGTCGTCTTACTCTTGTTGCTACCATGATAAGGGCATTGGTAAGTCAGACTCATGCTTCAGACCACAGTGCATTTCTAACCGAGGTGTTTATTTCTTTTCACAGGGCCAGATGCAGATGGCTGGAGATGGGTGCAGATCGCAGGGATCTCGGAATGCTGAGAAAGTCTGTGCACCGCTGCCTCAAAGCGGATTGGCTACTGCGAATGGGAAGCCAGAACCCACTTCTCTCAGTTGACAGTTTATTCGAGGAACTGTTTGCCTTGGTGGTTTTGAATTTCCCATTCTTCAAGGAAGGATCTTTGATGACCTTTTACATAAATGGGGCAGCTCTGTCTTGTTTGCCTTCTGGATTAGAGAGTTGTAATTCAATAAAAGCTAAATTTGGGGAGAATGGGTCAGTAGTGTCCAAAAGTTTCTTTCCACTCTGGGCAACTAGGAGAGGTAATCCTTCTCTCTGGGACTGAATAAATGTTTGGGACTTTGCCTAATGGGAAAGACATTTTTGGAATGCTATTTCCTAAGTCCCGGGCAAGAATCCACATAGATGATTAGGTAGGGGCTGTGTTTAGGAATGGTGCCTTTGAAATATTGGTGGTCCCAGCATCTGGTTATCTACTCAAAGGCCTGCATTTCTTCGTTACATCCGCGTAATCTGGTGTCTGAATCCTTTTTCCCAACTGAACTCTCACTTTTATCCTCTGAGAAAATATCCCACAGGACGGGGCCCTCCTTAACCATCTGTCTTCTAATCTATGTAAATTTGTGCGATGGGCTATCTTATGTAAAATACAGTAGAAATTTATGTACATAGTTTCTATTAAATGTTAAAACTTGAAAATGTAAAAGTTTCCTTAATTGATTGCACATTTGTATTTAAGAGTGTCTAGTTGACTTGTTGGGAGATCATAGGGATTGGTCTCTGAGGAAAGGAAAATGGGACACTTTTTTAATATCAGGAAATAATTTTAAGTAGTTCATTTTGTTTTGGAGGATAAGGTAGAAACTTGGAAGAAGTAAATGAAAATAGGTGGGACTTCTTTTTTTGTTTGTTTTTGTTTTTTTCTAGTACTGGGAATCGAACTCACGACCTCTCGCTTGCCAGGCAGGCGCTGTGCTGCTGAGCTAAATCGCCAGCCCCAGCACTTCTTCATTAAAGCCAACGAGTTGCAAAATTTACTTTCACCCTCCACTCTGATTTCCCAACTCCCAATTGCAGTGTTTCCAAAATTTAATGGCTTGGTATAATCCTAGTAGTCTGGAAAGCTGAGATGACATTGAAGTATGAGACCCCTGTGGGTAATTTAGCAAGTTAGTGTAGTGAGATGGTGTCTCAGAAAGTTAAGAGAGGAGGCCTTAGCACAGAGCTCAGTATGAAGGCCCTGGATTCAGTCTCTAGCGTTGTAAAAAAAATGCATAGTCACTAAAATTATCTAGTGCTAGGAATGTATGTAAGACATACAAGTGGGATTTCATGCTGGCTCACAGGCATAAATTACTATTTTTTTGTGGCACTGGGATCGGATCCATGGCCTCATGGTGAATGCCCCACCACTGAGCTACTTCGCTAGCCTGTTGGGGGTTTTTTGTTGCTAAATGTTAGAGCAGAGTTAACAGAAGTTCAGTTAGGGTTAAAATACCTATGCTAGAAGCCAGGTGTGGAGGCTGAGGCAGGAGGATTGCTGTGAGTTTGGGACCAGCCTGAGCTGCATAGCGAGACCCTGTCTCTTTAAAAAGGAAAAAAGTGCTAGAAAAAGAAAATAATGCACTATGATAATGCAGCCAAAAGATGTTTTTGGTAAAGAACGAGGGGCACAGGAGGGTTTACATAGTCACAGAATCATCTAAACTAAGTGTGTGCATCCAGAGAATGGTCAAGAAGTCCCCCAGGGCCACATCTAGTCTTGCAGTGATGCTGTAGATGGTGGTTTCCACTGCTTTTTAATTTTGTCCAAAACTGATCAAATCCAGTTGTGTTCTGAGCTTTGTTGCAGCTCTTTGGTTTTGGACAGCATCTCACTAAATCACCTAGGCTGTCCTCCAACCTGTGGTCTTCCCGCCTCAGCTTCCTAAGTAGCTGCGATTGAAGGGATGGTTCCTCCACGCCTGGCCTCACTGCTCTTTAGATCCCATAGTGTAGTTCTTTTTTTTTTTTTGTTTTTCTCCGGTACCGGGAACCGAACTCACGACCTTGCACTTGCCAGGCAGGTGCTTTTGCTGCTGAGCTAAATCCCCAGCCCCCTTTTTTTCATTTACTAACCAACATTACTTCTTACACAGTTGAGAACATGTTTCCACAGAAGGGTTAGATTAGATGCTGGGTGTGGTGCTGCACACCTATAATCCCAGCACTTGGGAGGCTGAGGCAGGAGGGTCACTGAGTGTGAGGCCAGCCTGAGTACATAGCAAAACTTCTCACCGCCCCCCACCCAAAGAAAATCCACTTGGACTTCGAAGTGGCTCTGCACACCATTAACAACAGGAAACCCAAGATACTGTCAGGCTTTTGAGCTCATTGTGGAGGAGAGAGAGGAGGGAATCTGCATTAGCACCCCAGAAATCCTCTTGGCCATTGGTTTGCAAACCTAGTTACAGAGAGTTGGGAAAGCCGCCTTCTCCCAGGTCCTGGCACTGGGGCACAGGGAAGAGCGCGTGGGCAGGGCCCGGAGACAGTCTGGGTCCTGTCGGTGGAGGCCCCGGTGCTTCCCGGAGCAGGGGATAAGGGACGCGAACCTGCCCTGCCTGCAGAGTATGCCGCAGGGTCAGCGTCTCCGCCTGCAGAGAAGTCACGCCCGGGATTGGTTAGCAAGAGGCGCGGGAGGCACTTACCAGGTAGAAATGTGCGCCTTCTGTTGGCATGGGGGCATTCAGGAAACGGAGGCACTATTTCCTGGAACTGGGAACACTTGGGCTGCCCTGGTAGGAATGGAAGTCTGGGAAAGGGGGACCTACCCCTGGAAGGGTACTGCCCCTTTTATAGGTGTGAGTCTGCTTTTTTTTTTTCTTTTTCTTTTTTTAAAAGATGGGTAATTGGCACATTCTTTGAATTCCCTCAGCCGGTTCTTATCTCGGGATCAGTTTCCGGCTCTTTCCTTTCTCAAGGCAGTGTATGGGCTCAGCTTTCCTAGGGAGCGCGGGTGTGGTAGGTTTGAAGGGAAGGAGCCCAAGTTAACCTAGGAAATGCGCACGTCGACCACCGCGGGCAGCTTCAAGGCGGCGCCAGCAGGTGCAGCCTTACAACTGCAGATTTTAGTTACGATTTTCCTGGGCTCCTTTTTATCTCTCATTTCTTCCGTCGCACCTCATCCCTGCTCCTGCTCTTTGATCCCTTATTCCTAGGAGCTGTAGAAAGGCCGAGGAGCTTCCTTTTTGTAACTTGCAGGCACTGGAGGAGCGCTGTGCCTGGTCGGGATCAGAAGTCTCAGCCAGACTGATCTAGAGGACACGAAGGAAGACGGGCTTTGTCTGATGAGCAGTGTGGAGAGGACAGAGACGTCAGCAAGCCACTGACCCTGGAGCTTTATTTTATAACCTGGTACAGCCGGGCGTGGTGGCGCATGCCTGTAATCCCAGCACTTGGGAGGCTGAGGCAGGAGGATCGTTGCGAGTTTGAGACCAGCCTGGGCTACAAAGTGAGCTCAAGGCCCGCCTGAACTGCAGAGTGAGACCCTGTCTCAAAAAAAGGTGTAACATTTGGTGTAAGCCTTTTATCGTTAATTTTTTTTTTTTTTTCGGTACCGGGAATCGAACTCAGGAACTCGCACTTGCCAGGCAGGTGCTATGCCGCTGAGCTAAATCCTCAGCGCCTAGTTTTAATATTAACCTCTTTGTTTTGAGGTGTTTACCCAAATAAAATGGAATTTAACAGAATACAGATGCCTTCCTGTTTCTTAAATCTAATATTTTCTTATTTTAATTATAACTGGTGAAGGAATATACTACAGATATCTATTTAGTTTTTCTTTTTTATTTTCTTTTTTGTTTCTTGAGATAGGGACTTGCTATGTAATTCAGGCTGGCCTTGAACTCACTATGTAGCCCAAGCTGGGCTCAGACTTGTGGTGATTCTCCTGCCTCAGCCTTCCAAGTGCTGGGATTACAGGCATGCACCACCACTCCTGGTTTAGATGTCTATGTTTTGTGACTATGGGACTATTAAAAAAAATTTTTTTTTTTTTTTTAAACTATAGGTCTGGTCTCTCTTTTGTAGACCTGAAGACCTTTTTTTTTTTTTTTTTTTGTCTTTTTGAGACAAGGTCTTGTTATGCAGTTCAGGCTGGCCTTGAGCTCACTTTGTAGCCCAGGCTGACTTTGAATTCGAAACAATCCTCCTGCCTCAGCCTCCCGAATGCTGGGATTACAGGAGTGCGCCACCACGCCCAGCTCTGAAGACCTTTTATAGTGACAGCTCTAGATAATATAAACAAAGCCTGAAGTAGACAACAAAGTTCATACCACCAAGATAATGTTGCTATTTTTATTTTATATCTTTAAAGCAGTTATTCAGAGTACAATGTAGGGGCATTAAAATTTTCTCTAATGGATATTAGCACAAACCTTCCCATGCCATTTTTATTTTAGGCACACCTATATAAGCTAAATCTTTACTGGAGGGGTATTTGAAAGTATGCTAACATTACATAATGTATATATAAATATATATATACCATGAGGACACTTTTTTTTGGCACCAGGATTCAAACTCAAGACCTTGCACTTGCCAGGCAGGTGCTGTGCCACTGAGCTATATCCCTGGCCCAGGACACATTTAAAAATTTTTTTTAAAAAGTTCTTAATTTTTTAAATTTTAGCCAGAGCAATTAGTCAAGAGAGAGAAATAAAAGGAATAAGGATAGGAAAGGAAGAGGACACAGTGTTTGAAGGGACAGTGGGACTTGGAATCAAGATATTTTTGCACTGTAGGCTAAACTGCTATAAGTGTAGCTGGAGACTGCCAGTGGTGTGCACTATTTGTTCCCCCTATTTTTGGTCTTTTTGAGACAGGGTCTCACTATGCAGTTCAGGCTCACTTTGTAGCTCACATTGGCCTCCAACTCGTGGTGGCAGTCCTCCTGCCTCAGCCTCCCAAGTGCTGGGATTACAGGCATGTGCCACCATGCCTGGCATCATCTATATTTCTTAAGGTCAGTTAAGAAAGCTCCCTTGGGGCCAGGGATATAGCTCAGTAGCACAGTGCCTGTCTGGAAAGTGCAAGGTTGTGAGTTCGATTCCTGGTACGAAAAAGAAAAGAAAAAAAGCTCCTTTGGGGTTACATTGTGGCCCTTATGCAGAGCCTGTCATCTCTGCTCTTTCCCTCTCTCAGTTGTGTCTTTTGCCAGGATGGGCCATGGTTCTCCTCCCTGGGAACCCTCCTTTTAGCACAGTGGACGTTGGACGCTCATGCTCCAGGTCTAACGTTCTCCCTGTTCAGGATATTGGGTGATTCACGGTGTAGAATTTTTTTTCAGAGGAGCCAACATGCCCTGGGTTTTGGCTAACCTGGGAGGGAAAGGGGCAAAGTGTGGGCCCTCTTAGCCCAGTCATCTTTTAAAAAAAATTATTGCAATTTTATTTTAAATTTCTAAATTATTTATTTCATGTACTTGATTCATAAACTCTAAATCATGTATATGAATATAAAAATGAATACAGGTGCTTTAAACTTGGACAGAATCCTATTACAATACATATTTTTAAAAAAATTTTCCTATTTTTACAACAGTGAAAAACTAAATAAAGCACATAGGAAAATACAATCATTTCAGTGTTCTCTTTTCAAACATGTGGCTTTGAATGGAAGCTCAGTGTTCATACCACTTTAAAAATCCAGATACGATGCATCCAATAG